GGAAGTACTTTAGCCGGAGAAACTAGAGTATCTAAGTCGTAAGGTTCGCGACGAAGAGAGCGAGATCCTTTCGGGGCCCGACGCTAAACTTATAGCTATTCGGTACGATCGTCGGCGTAATAGAATAGGAGGCGAGAGTCAGTACGAGTATAAGGAGAAGATCGTAGAGCGGGTCGCCTAGGTAGCTCTAGAGGTAGTTCTACGCGATCTAGTAATACTCTAGGATCCGACGGTCGCTCCGCTGGAACTGGCGCTCGAGCGCGTCAAAGCCCTACTATAGGAGAGTCGGGATCTGGATAAACGGGACGTTATAGTCAAAGTTAATCTTATCGGTGGTCCGTTAGCGCTTATCGATATACTAGACCTCTATAGCGGCCCGCTTAAGGCTACTAACCGGAGTAGAGAGGATAGTCGCGGGCAATATATATCCGACTAGACGAATGACGCGGCGGAAGCTAAGGCGGGACTAGTATATCTCCGGGATATATTCGATCCCGTTCGACTATATATCGGCCGAGATAGCCGCGATCTAGTGCTCCGCCTTTATATAGGAGTCCCCGGTCAAGTACTAGAGGATATATCGGAGGATAGCGAACTAGGTCTCGCCTATAGCGACGAACCGGGACTTACTAGTAGCGTTTAGGCTAATATAGTACTAGTAGAGCTCTCTCGTATAGTCCTACCGCGCCTAGATAGAGGTAGCGGCCGTCGTCGAGAAGTAGAGCGCGATTAGGATGGATATAATAGGCTCGAACTCCCGCTACGTAAAGAGCTACGGACTCTAAGCCTAACTATCGAGAAGACTCTACTAGTGCTCGATAAGATCGGTCTCCCGCTTAACGATCGAGTCTTAGAGGAGATCGCGACGTCGCTACTCCGCCCGGAGATAACGCTTTAGGTAGGACCTAATAAAGACCTTCTACTAAGGGATCTAGAGATCTTAGAAGAAGTCGTCGAAGAATTTCGTAACTCGACTCGGTCCGCTTATATCTCGACCGTCGAGATCCTCGAACTACGCGTAGGTATAGCGACTAATCGCGACGGCGAGCCTATAATAAAACGATAGCGCGGTAATATATATTAGGATCGGTCGGTCCTTAGCCCTACGGGGCTATTAGGGGAGGTTTAAGGACCCCCCGACCGGCTAGAGGTCGAGGAGCCGGGGATCGAGATAGAGCTAGGCACCGTACTCGATACTATCGATCGTCTAGAGGGGTTTCATAACCGAGACGACGAGAGAGCGGGGAAAGCCCGTAAAGTAATAGCTATCGAGACGGTCGATCGCCGCGACCCTCTCGGCGAGCGCCGTATCCACGCCGTAGACTTTCCGGCTATCGATCCGCCGGCGAAGTTCCCCGAGCGTCGTATCGAAGATCGAGACGTAGGTCGCTAGGACGCCGGGAAAGACGGTAAGGCGGAAGGACTAGAGAAGATAGGTATACTCGTCGGGCTTATAGAAGAAGAACCGTATAAGCTAGAGAATAGGCTAAAGAACGGTCGGGAACCGCCGCTAGTAGAAGATTAGGCGGTCGACTAGATATAGATAACCTATTCGAAGCGGAAACTAAACTCGGCCGCGTCGATCGCGGCGTTAATCCGGCGACCCTCTCGCGCGAAGAGCCGAGAGGCACTCGGATCGTCCGGAGTCGTCTAGCCGAGGAGCTATCGGCGGAGACGCTAACGGAGGGCCTAGGCTCGCGTAGAGACGGTAGTCTCGGCCTCGGGGAGGGCTAGGGCGGCCGTCGCGATACCCTTAGTAGCGAGAAGGTCGTCCGGGGCGTAGCGGATACTCCGTTTGATATTAGAGTAGGCCTAGAAGTAGCCGGCGGTAAGGACGTCCACACCCCGATTCTAGTAACTAAGATTATCCTTTATAACCGTAAGGACATTATCGACGAGAAACTTAGGGGGCCGGGGCGAGGAGAAGTTCCCGTAGGCCGGGTAGAAGACGAGAGAGAAGAATAAGTAGTCACGCGCCCCGTAATATTCGCGGGCGACTAGATTTCGGTTCGCGAGGAGATAGCGAGAGGATATCGGCTTAGGCTACCCCGTCTACTCGAGAACGGTCCTATTAAGGCAATAGATATCGACCGCGAGTGCGTACGAGATAGAGCTAATATAGGCGAGGATATACTTAGTCTCTAACTCGGTCTGAAGTCTCTCGAGCCCGGTCGGGGAGAGAGACGGTAGGGAGTCCGGTCGTCTACTACCCCGATCACTATCCCCATAATCAGTCCCGAGACTATCCGGAGGACCACGGGTCGTAAGTGACGGGCGTCGTCGCGCGGGTCGAGCCGTCCGAGTATAGCCGTCGCCGTTCTCGGGGGGAGCCTAACTATCATTATTACTATCGCTCTTCTCGTCCTCGTCGTCCCTCTCTATCTCGCTCTCACTCGAGCTCTCGTTCTCGGCCGGGCGGAGAGTAGTCTCTTTCGCGAGAGACTATATAGACTCGTCCGTCTAGATAGTAATATTAGCCCCGTAGTTATACGCGTAGAAGGCCGGCCGGTTATCGTACTAGAACGAATCCTCGATATAGTCCTAGATATAGTCGGACTAGTACTCTATGAAGAGCCGCTAAAAGGCTATCTACTTATTAAAGGTGATCGTCTAACTCTCGGACCCGTCGAGACGCTATAACGTCTCGACCTCTTCCTCGAGGAGATCGCTAAGGAGGAAGAGCTCTTTAATATACTCGGCGAGGAACTAGGCGTACTAATAGCGGAGAGCGCTCGACTACGCGATCTCCTCCCGGCGTCGACATTAAGCGCGATAGGATTAGAGGAGCTCGTTTACGATACTACCGCTAGAGTATATCACTATAAACTAGAACTCGCGGGTAGCCGCTATAGCGAGACGGAAGATCCGATATTAGAGATTAAAGAAGATACCGTAGATATACTTATAGCTATACGACGCGCGCCAGTTCCGGAAACTAAGAGTTATATTATCGAAGAAATAGCCGCTAAGGTAGATAATAGACCTTATAGGCTACCCGATAATAATAATCATATCGAGAGAGAAGATAGAGTAGTATTTGTCGACCGAGAGCGTAGCCCGACTACCGGTCTTACGACTATCGTAGTCGATCGTATATCGCTATTAGAGTATCTCGATCGCGCGAGTACCGTCAAAGTTAGGGTCTTAAGCGAGGGAGAGGAAGTCTTTAACTATAGTAGTACTACTCTCGGAGAGGACCGCGTTAGTAAGCCGACTTAATACTTTCCCTAAGAGCGGGAGAGGGGAGATAGAGTCGAATCGCGAAGTTAATAATACCTACGAGAGTAGCTAATATTCTAGCTATAGACGTCCGCCGTAATATCGATCGTATCGTTATTACTAAAGCCGTTAGTCTCGCTATCGGACGGACTAGGCGAGATAGTATAAGGCGTCTCGTAATCCTCGTACTCTTCCTCGCTCGCGTCGGGGCTGACCTCGCTCTCGAGACCGTCGTCTAGCGTATCAAAGTCAAAGAAGAAGAGATTATTAGGTAAAGAGTCGACGGGCTCCGGCGCCGGAGAGTCTAGATTTAGAGTGACTATAGTCCTATCGGGCGGGCTATATTACCGATCGGACTATCGCGCGTAGAGCGGAAAGAGAGAGCTCTATATACTACTAAAGAGATCGAGGATATAGTCTACGAAGGAGAGTCCCTAATTTAATAGAGAAATATATATAAATAATCTCGAATATGAGAAGTCGTCACTTCTAATATATCTCAACTCTAGTTATATATAACGGTACTACTAACGGAGATATTAATACTCTTATCTCGTCGTCTATCAGGTCCCTAGTATCTAGCGAGATAAATATATCTCTAGCTCCCCTCGGTTCTAGTATCTTCGCGTTATAGATCCGTAGCACTAACGGCGCTATTAATACTCTTACTATCAGTTCTCGACGTTTAGCGAGATAAACGTATCACTAGCTCCTCTCGGCTCTAATACCTCCGCTTTATCGATCTTTTACGCTATAGAGATAAGCTATCGGACTCCTTAATCGATATTAACTAGATAGGGGATAGTGGAATATATCAGTCCTCGTGATATAAAATAGATAATTAGAGGGGTGGAGACCAAGACTACCTTAATTAGTAGAAGAGTAACGGGTTTAATTTCCTCTAGCGGGTAGAGTATCGCGTAAGAGAGCGAATAGGAAGTATATCTTACGCTAACCGAAGGGCTAACCTCTCCGGTAATATTCACACTCTAATAGAGACGCGAAAGATTAAAGAGATCGAGAAGCGATTATCGAGAGCGGATATTATTTAGGGAGACGGACTTTTATACACTTAATATTACTTAGAACGCCCTTTAGCGCGCGGATAGTTCCACTAAATACTCTTCTAGGTGCCGAGCTTAAGTTTCCGAGACCGCTACTAAGATATCGTAGGGGAACGCTAGGATAGTTAGGTCGGCCGTCGCTCTAGAGCCGTAGGCGAAGGAGAGGAAAGCTAGACGGGAGAGGGTACTCTTCGCGCTTTCGCCTCCTAGACTCGCTATAGAGGGGTAAAGGGACGCTTTAGTAAGGGTACTTAGCGGCTAACTAGTCGTAGGGTGATGCGCTCTACGCTCGCGGCCGTCGAGAGAGACTAGGAGNATAGTAGCTAGAGTGATATTACTAGATTTGAGGAAGCCCGTTTCAAAGTGCCTTCTTAAGGTCGGAGCGGCGGTTTTGTAGGGATCAAAAATGGTTTTTTTTGTAGTTTTTTGATTTACAAAGCTTCTATGTACAATTAATAATAGAGTACCTGTGTCGAAATACCCGGAGTGTGGGTAGTGGGTGGGCCTGTGGGAATCTCGAGACCGACCGAGGCCCCGGATGCTGGAAAAGGTTAGTTCAAAGCTTATCAGACGGACGCTATCTGTTACGAGCTTTTACTATAACAGATAAATCTGCCGCCACTTTCTCGGAGCGGAATTCAAACACGACTTTTCTCCCCGTGACTGAGTGTCTATCTACTCCCGTCTGCTGCCTGGTCTCGGAAGCCCAGTCTCAACATGGATGGCTCTACCATCATAATCAACAAGCAGGTTCAGCGGCGGCAGATGCACTCGTGTGATACGTGCCGCCGCCGAAAGATCAAATGTGACTCGGTCAACAAGGCCCACTGCACTGCCTGTCGAAAATCCGGGGTGGAATGCAGGTTCGCAGCTCCCTTGGTACCTGGCAGACGTGAGATAGCTGATTATGATTGCCTCAGGTTCAGCCTCACGTGGAAACGACATGCCAGTCGAAGCGTCGACGCGCCCGTTCCATCGGCTGCATCACCTTCCAATTCCACCGATGTTGTCCCCCAAACCACCTTGGAAGAAGTCGTCCCATTCACCGACAATGGCGCGACCACTCCGGCACCCCTCGAATCTGGACGGGTGGTAGCACCGGCGCCATGCAACGCCGTGGACACCCTCTCTCAGTTCTTCCACAAGGGCGTCTGGTCCTCGTCGTGGGCCGAGTTCGATGACTATGAACGCCTACGCCTTGCCTACATTGGCACTTCGGGATCCAATTTCTCCCACCTAGTCAATTTGAACCGGGAGGGCCAGCGCTTCCTGACCTACCCCCATCCTCCAATCCACCCACACCTACCCTGGAAGCCCCAGGCGCAGCACTACCTGAACAAGGGTCCGCTCCTGGAAAATGTCCGCCAGTTAAGCTCTTTCCCGGCCAAGGAGATACGGAACGAACTGGTCGAGGCCTTCTTCGAAAAGATTCACCCCTACTTTCCCGTCTTGGACGAGGCCGACTTCCGCCGCCAGTACAAAGATCCTTTCAATCCGCCACCGCTACTGCTGTTCCAGGCCGTTCTGCTAGCCGGAGCCCATGTCTGTAACCATCCAAGGGTGGCGAATACTCGACAAGCGGTCAAATCGATCCTCTACCATCGAGTAAAGATCCTTTTCGATTTGCGTCACGAAAATAATCGCGTCCACCTTGTCCAGGCAGCCCTGCTTCTCACATGGCATCTCGAGGATTCCGACTCGGTCAGCCTCAACAGTTATTACTGGGTTGGAGTGGCGTGCCGGATCGCCTTTGGCATCGGTCTACACCGTAACCTCATGGACGAACCTGATATTCCGGGCCGGATGCCTGCTTGTGACCGGAGGCTCCATCGCCGAGTTTGGTGGGTCTTATTCCAGACCGAAGTCATGTCGGCATTGGAACATGGACGACCATCAATGATCAATCGTGACGACTATGACCAACCCCCTCTAGAATTGAGTGACTTTTGTGAACAGAATGGTCAGATCAATACCAGAGTCAACCTTGAATATTGCTCCAGAAATATCGAGCTGTGTGAGATGATCCTGGAAATCCAGCGTGCGACCTCTCCTGGTGCCATACTTCGAGGCGAATATCCTGACGTGAAATCCCTCAATTCCAGGTTGATCAAATGGGCCATAGCAGTCCCTCTGACCCAAACCTTTTGGAGCCTCCAACTGCAACTTCATTACCAGACCGTCGCCATCCACTTGCATCGGCTGTACCTGGACGGAGCAGAGAGAATAGCCCAGTCTCCCGATTCAAATGACCAGTGCAATGCAGCAGCCCAAATGATTCTGTCCATTTTCGACGCCATTATTCGCATCGGAGTATTGCAACAGTGCTATTTCCCCAGCGTGGTGGCTCTCATCGCGGCTGGCGTTCACGTGTCGAGAAGCATCCAACAGCTCGTTGACAAGGGCTCGATGCTGCTTGCCCTGAACTCGTTACGGAATTTGGAGAGCGTGGTTCATACCGCAGAAGTTTTGAAAGAGTTCTGGCCCAATGCTGAAGGCGTTGAAAAGCTGTTCCGCGTCCTGGTCGATCGATACAAAGATCTTTTGCACCGAGAACACCGCGACGAAGAGTCTACCACGACTGCCGACTTTTGCAACATTGACTGGGAAACCATGCTGTTGTTTGATTCCCAACCTCGACTCATGGAATTAGACTGGATGGACGCGTTAAGTAACTAGGCCCTGCAAATTCAACGAAAAGGATGTTGAATCCTACCGAATTCCCAAGTGTTTCAAATTCTGGTAACTATATCAAAATGCTATGGAAACCTCTCTAGTTGTCATAATTGGTCGAGCAACTCAGCTCCTTGTACGCCTTGTAGTTCTCCTCGTACTCCTGCAGCTTCTTCATGATGAGATTATACGAGTCCTCACCGATGGCAACGCGCACGGGCGGGTTGGGCATCAGGGCCAGATCATACATGGCCCGAGCACCCTTGTCCGGATCTCCCGCCTGGGTGCCGTGCCTCTCGTCCATTGACTTCTTGATATCTAGATGGTCGTACTCAGGCATCCGCGGCGCAAATGTCATGCTCCGACCAGTCCAGTCGGTTCTGAAACTGCCAGGCTCGACACAGGTGACCTTGATGTTCCACTCGGGCCGCAACTCCTTGCTGATGGCCTCGCTCATGCCCTCCACGGCCCATTTACTCGCGCAGTACAGACTGAAGCCTGCCACGCCGCGCTGGCCGCCGATACTGGTGACCTGCTGGATGACACCTCCCGGAGGCGAGTTCTTGGTGCGCATGATTCGCAGCGCCTCCCTCGTGACGTCGATCAACCCGAAGAAGTTGACCTCCATCTGCTGCCGGATCTGGGCTTCGTCGTACTCTTCGAAACACCCCGCAAGGCCGTACCCGGCGTTGTTGACCACGACGTCGATGCGCGAGAACTTGGCCAGCGCGGCGCTGAATCCGGCCGTTATCGAGGCTTTGTCCATTACGTCGAGGGCGAGTGGGAGGAAGTTCTGCTCGGTCGCGCCCTTGAAGGACAGGAGTTGGTCCTTGTTACGCGCCGTGGCAACGCAGTAGTCGCCGCGCTGGAGGACGTATTGGGCGTACGATTTCCCCAGGCCGGTCGAGCACCCGGTGATAAAGAAGACTCGGGGCATTTTTTGAGTATGGTGGTAGGGAATGTGTGGATTAGCGGGTTGTTTTCATAGACTGTGTGTTGTCACGCCCACTGAAGACAGATATCCTCACGAGGTTTTCTCAGAGGAATGAAGCGAGCAAGGATTCACGGATCGGGCATTCCAGCAAAAAGAACGAGAGATTTCTAACTGTTTTTGAAGCCGCCCGGCACGCGTAAACGTGACGGGGCTCCGGCTGTCGAAAATGTTACCTGAGTATTTTTTTTTTCATCTCTCTCTTCCACCTAGGTAGGTGCCGGAGTACTAGAACAGCCACACTCCACTTTATGCTGGCGTTTTCTGGCATTCGGAACTCGGAGCTCGCGTTGCTCTGCGTTTTGCGGCTGTACGCCGAGCTCACTGGGGGCTAATACTTGGTATCCGAAAGGGCGCAGCATCCAATTTATTCGTTGATCATGCCACCGGTCTCCATGCCCGGATCGGCTGCGTGACTATCTCTGAGCGAGCTTGTTACGCTGCAGATTGGATATATTGAAACCGTTACGTCGGTTGCGCGCCATGGCTCTTGAAGCAGTGCAAGAACCACCAGCCAGGCCAACGAAGACAAAGAGGAATCGACCCTCGAGCCAACCTACGCCGGAGGTGACAACGATTTACGACTATCCGCATGTCTCAATTTCCACATCCCGTCTTGGACGCCACCCCGTTCAAAGAATACGCCCCTAATGACAATGTCGATGTGATTGTGGTCGGCGCTGGCCTCAGCGGGCTCAAAGCAGGTTACGAAGTACAGCAATCGGGGTTGAGCTGTCTTATAATTGAAGCGCGTGATCGAGTTGGCGGAAAGACTTGGAGTGTCGATCCTTTAGGCAAGGGCTTCGGCGTGGATGTTGGAGCAGCATGGATCAACGACACAACGCAAGCAAAGGTCTACGAGCTGACTCGCTTTCTTGGTCTGGAAACCGTTTTCCAGAATACCAAAGGAAATGTTTTGCAGGAGGATCTAGGTATGGACCTCTGCTCGTTTTCATACGGCAGCGTTCCCGAGGTTTGTCGCGTCTTCGGCGCATCGAAGTTGCGCGGTAGCGCGTTTAACAGATGTGCTAACTTCTGCCCCAGAAGCTCGCCGAGTCCGGCGGTGTCGATAATATGGTGTACATCCGCGACCTGGCCGAGAAAGTGTGTCAGACGCTCGACATTCATGACCCAGTGGGATCCGGCGGGGACCTCGACAAGTATACCCTGAGAGAGTGGGCGGAACGGAATGGGGCAGGTAGAACTGCTATCGCGTCCGTTTCTGTCTGGACCAGAGCTATGCTTGGCCTCGAGCCGTCTGATGTTAGTGCGCTGTTCTTTCTCAATTACCTAAAGAGTGGCGGAGGTCTCATGAGAATGAGATCTGACTCCAAAGATGGCGGTCAATATATGAGATTGGTAAAAGGTAACTGCATTCCTGTTTGATGCTCCGGCTGTCAAACATCATACTGACCCCTATCCTTTGTTAGGCACCCAATCTCTCTCGATCGGACTCGCTGGTCTCCTCCAGCCAGGCTCGCTGATTTTGAACTCGCCCGTACTTGAAATCAACCAAAACTTCTACGGCGCAACCGTCGTAACTGGCCGTGGAACATTTACAAGTCGCAAGGTCATCGTGTCAGTCCCAACACCACTTTACAAAGAGATTAGTTTCTCCCCACCCTTGCCGTACGCGAAACAACAGTTGAGCTCCGCAAACATCCTAGGATATACGTGCAAGGTGATGATCCTGTTCGCCGAGCCATGGTGGCGAAGCAAGAACTTCACAGGTGTTTTACAATCGTTTGAAGGCCCTATCTCCGTCACCCGAGACAGCAGCGTGGACTCAAAAGGCCACTACTCAATGACCTGCTTCGTCGTGGGAAAACCTGGCGTCGAATTGTCAAAGAAGTCCCAACAAGACCGGTTCGCGGCAGTGTTGGAACAGCTGAATCGATGCTTCGGGCCTTCGATGGGGGGCAGCATTCCTGAACCGCTTGCCATGACGGAACATGAATGGGCCAAGGACCACTGGGCTCAAGGCTGCCCTTGCCCGGCAGCACCACCTGGAGCCATGACAAAGTTCGGTCACGCGTTGAGGACACCGCATGCGAATGTACACTTTGTGGGCACGGAGACTGCGTTCGAGTGGAAGGGCTATATGGACGGTGCCATCCGGTCTGGCGAGAGAGGCGCGAGGGAAGTGGTTTCGGAACTCAGCAAGGCCAAGTTATGATACGATTTGCGGGAGAGCGTCGGTGACACAATAAAGCTGCACTGGGTAGTGACTTTAGACAAACTTGTGGACCTCCTCATCATGAACAATGTAGCTTCAGAATACTTCTTCTCCATCGCCCGCCTCCCGTACGTTCAGATTCTGCTCCGTTATGGGGTAAATTCCACGACAACGATGCTGACCGACAACAGCGAACAGCTGCCAGCAAGCGAGCCCTAAGGGTAAAGCTGAGCATGGCCAATCCTTTCCCAACCCGGACCCCCAACCCGCTCCAACTCCTCATCTTATCAAAAGGCCCTTTCCCCAGTCTAGACCAAGACCATCCGCACTGGGCGACATACTGCACCCGTACCCCGTGCAAGAAAAACCAGAAAAGAATTCGAACTCGGAACTCGGAACTCGGGAGCGCAAAAGTACCCACACTTCCCTGCCTGTTTGGGAATAGTTTTGATCAGCCGTATACAGAGTCCGAAGTCTCGTATCTCGTATCTCGCCCCCGGGTTTTGAATCCCCTGCTACCGCTTCTGCGTTGGCTTCGGAACTGAGTGCTGTGTTGAACTCGGCTACCGATGGTGGACGACCTTGTATCGGACAACTCACTCGTGCGTAAGGATCCCGGTGGAAGGGTGGATGGGTGGTGGTTGTATATGGTCAGGTGAGCTCATGAGTTGCCGGCTCAATTCGGTATTCCTGTGTGCACGATAGTATTGGAAGCGATGCCGGTCTCGAGGACAAATGACGGGCAGCAGCAGCAGCAGTAATGATGGATACGAGCTGGGACTTGCATACGGATTTCACATGTCATCGTTGATCGCCCCTTTTTGCGGCGGCAGAGTCCTGAAATTTCTCGCTTTGAGGGCAGGCGGACAGTGGATTCATGATATATTTCCTGTATGCGCGGATCATTTCGAGGCAGCAGCCTTAGATTCCTGCTCTTGCTTCTGCAGCAGGAAGGCAATAGCACCACCGGCAGAGCATACCCTCTCGACACTGATAGACATGCACTCAACGACATTCCCCCAGGGATCCTGCATATACACGCCCCTGTGTCCTAGCAACCCGTACCGGCTATAGTCCATCCATCCTCCAATTTGTTTCCCACCATCCGCAATGACCTTCGCCAACAGTGCCTCCGGGTTCGGATCCGTGACGCAAATATGGAAAAACCCAATGCGTGCAAATTCGAATTCTTCGTCTCGTTTCACGGGCGCGGGGTCGATGAATTGGAATACTTCCAGACCGACACCGTTGCCGCTCGTTAGAATCGCAAACTTCAACTCACGCATCGTCTTGGGGTAGGAGATGAAGATCTGAGTGAATGCTTCGGGCGTGGTCTCTCGGCTGAAGTGTCGGATTCTTCCGATTACTTGGAAGCCCAGGTTGCGCTGGTACCAGGCTACGAGGGCTTCGAGGTCGGTACAGGAGATGGCGACATGGTTGATTGCACGATTAAATGGGACCTGGAATGTAATAATCACGTAGATTAGTCTTCCGCAGATCCTCGAATACTTTGTAGTCGGGAGGGATCAGAGTAGAATTAATTCCAACTTACGGTCTCAGCCATATTGAAAGGATGTTGATCGATGAGGGCAATCAAACTAAATGTGATGAACTTTCGAAAAAAAAAGAGACTTTGGTCGTGAAGTGAAATTGTCCGTAAAAAAAAGCATCGAGGCTACGAAGTATGCAGGGCAACAGAATTTGGCCCAGTGACTGGTAGTCTGGTCTCCCGGTTTTGCGGTACCGGCAGTATCGCAACTGATGGCAGGGGCCGAAATGGCCGGAAGTCACCCAATGGATGGAATCCGGTGGGATCCTGGGTGTTATGAAATGTAAATTCGATCAGTGGGATGTAGTATCCCACCCAAAGTCGGTGTGTAGTATTTTTCTGGTTACTATTCGTAGGAAGTTCCGAAGAGGCTTTCTCGGAAGTAAGCAACAAGGGTGCGCATCGCTGGCGTCAAAAATGCAATTATACGTTTATTTCCAAGATCACAGCTTCTTTGGAGCGCTCAGACACTCTAGAGAGAGGTAAAGCCTACTTCGTGCTCGCCTTGATCGCCCCTTCAATCAGTTCTTTGCTCGTTGCCTCGGCAGTGAGGAAGCGTTCCATGGCATCCTTCAATCGGTCCCCTGCCACCGTGTCGACTTCAAGAGCCGCGTTTAATTTCGCTCCATCTTCAGCCAGATAGTCAATCTCGTTGAGAGAGGTTGGCAATACCAGGTCCGGGAAAATGGCTGTAAGAGGCTCTCCATAAGGCTTGCCCTCGAATTTCGTGGCACCAAGCTCATTGAATACTGCAGGCGTCACTGTCGATGAATGACATCCCAACCTTGCCGCAGCGTCGACTTCTTTGATGGAGCGGAATCTGTGTATAGGGAGACACAGAGTCAGCATTTGAGCTCAGAAAAAGATCTAGGTCAAACATATGTGAACATTTGACCTACGCTGCAAGTTTAATCATTGGCTGTCGTTTGCCTGTGGTGTTTTGCAAATGTTCGTAAATGCCGATCATCTGTACGAGAGTCCTAGAGAACGGATGCTGTGTCGTCGGGTCTGCCACATTGGGCCACAATGATGGATCTCGAATAGAGCGAACCTCTGTGAGGGGTTATAGAGAGGAATATGTGGATCCTGTGGCATATACGAACCGTTGTAATAGGGACTGATGAACAGGCAGCCAGCCTGACTGCATGCCACCGCTTGGTCCAGTCCAAAAACTCCTGTCCCAAGAGTACTAATTCCCTCACTCTGGAGCCTTCGAGCTGCATTCACACCCTGGCCGGTTGCAAGAATCTTGATGCAGAACCTGTTCCTTGGAACTCCAGCTCTCTCAAACTCCTGTGCATATAGCCTTGCATGGACCAGAGTCTGTTCCACGTTGTACGCGGCTGAGGGTATCGTCTGAACCAGCACTCGGCCTTTGATAAACGCGAGACTCTTCTGCAGTATTGCAGCAGCCTGTTTCGATCAGAGAATGATTAATGCCTCGTCTCAATCTCTTGATGGGTACAACTTGAAGAGGTCACGTCACCATTCTTGTGTATATGGCCAACCAGCCTTGTGCATGGAGCTCCTTGACCGTCTCAGCGAGCAGTGCAGCATTGGCTTCGGTCCCCAGCTGAAGGCCAAGCAAGTATGGATTGCATGTCTGGTCGTATGGTACTGCAGGCAACGTCTTGACGGTTTCTACGTCTGCCCAATCTATGTCCAAGTGCACTATGTTGTCTCAGCGTTGGCTGGGGTAACGAAGTGTGCAGCTTACTCTTCTGGCTGATGTGGTCCAGCCAGGTCGTCATCTTGGAAGGACTTGTAGGTGAAGGTAACAGCGGCACAAAGGGAGAAGCAAGTACCTTGTCAAACCTGTGAAAATAGCTGGCAGTATAAAATGAGACCCTGCGAGGTTGGTCTTGATATGTGGCCTTGTCACTTGATCATCGACTAAATTCTTTTTGTAGGTGCCGACGAGCATCTCCGTGGTTCCGGTGTGAAGCCCATTTCGGATTTTGTCCATCGTAAACGGCCGTACGCATAATATTCGGCAGGTGTTCTGCCCTGTCGCATATCCAGTACTCATCGAGGTGGAACTCTGCTGTGGAGAAGAACGCTCCCATCGACTGGAAGGTCAGCCTATCATTAGTCGTAGATAAGTAAAGTTTCGACGGTGTCGTCAGGGTTGGGCATGAGCACTCGTCGAGTTCCGAACAGCGGGCACACGCCCTATGCTTCCGTGTTGGCCGAAGTGTCATGACCGTTTTGAACAACACAAAACGATACACATAAAATAGATTGCGCTGTAGGGTCAGTCCCGATACATTTTGCAATCAGAAAATCGGTCAAAACTACTCAAGATGGGAGGTACTTGGCAAGAGAACAGTGCGGTCGCACGCCAGAGGCTGATGGACTCCATTCCCTCCAAGTGGCGCCTCCAAACACCTCCCCCCGAGTCTCAAACAGATGTTCGCTCGGTTCCCAGAGACTGTGGACTGCTTACAGAACGACAACTTGAAATTACAGAGCAAAATGCCAGCGAATTGATGCCTCAGTTGCTGAATGGAAGCCTATCGTCGGTCGAAGTGACAGAGGCGTTTTGCGCCCGAGCCGCAATCGCCCATCAATGTGTATGTTGTATTGTTCTTGATAATTCACTTTGAGCTCGACACTGAAAGTAGAATTAGGTGAATTGTCTCACAGATTACTTCTCCGATGAGGCTCTTGCACGAGCGAAGGAACTGGATGATATTCTGGCAAAGACGGGTAAACCCGTTGGACCTTTACATGGTCTGCCCGTGGGAATCAAGGTAGGGCGAATTCTTCAACAAGTTAATGACTGATACTGACAATGTGAACAGGACATCTTCCATATGAAGGGCAAGATCCTCACCATGGGCTTTGCTGCCTGGCATAACAACCGGTGCAACTCGGATGCCGCGATAGTTCAGATACTGCGCAATGCTGGAGGTATACACTCTTCTTTCCACTACCTTCTTCGAGTCTCAAGCACATTACTAACTAGTCGTCATGGTCGATATAGCTGTTTTCTTCGTTCGAACCACTATGCCCCAGACCGGAATGTTCCTCGAAACCTGGAGTAACCTATGGGGTCGAACAACGAACCCGCACAACAGAGGATTTTCTGCCGGAGGGTCATCAGGAGGAGATGGCAGCCTCGTGGCTATGCGCGGTGCACCTTTTTGTCCTTCGACTGACATCGGAGGAAGTATCAGAGCTCCCGGAGCGTTCAACGGAAACTATGCAATCAGGCCCACGGCTGAAAGAACGGCACGAACCGGATTTGGGACACTACGCCCTGGCCAGATCTCGATAAAGGTGTCGTCGGGCCCCAACTGTCACAGCATAGCCGACATCAAGCTGGGCACCGAAGTTCTACTCTCCCTTTACGGCCTTCCTTATGACACTACAGCTGTTCCTTTAGCATGGAAAAATGTCCCACCGAAGACAGGAAAGTTATGTTTCGGGTTGATGACAACAGATGGTGTCGTTGAGCCTCACCCACCTTGCTCCAGAGCGCTGCGAGAGACCGCTGCTAAGTTGCGAGCCGCAGGTCATGAAGGTATGCACCGACCGGCACAAGTTCTGTTTCTGGAGGCTATGAAGCTAACGTTGAGTCACAAGTCATTGAATTTCAACCACCATTTAACTGCTGGGAGGCTGCAGATACAACAGTAAGTCTTCACCCCCTTCCAGTCTCTCATTCAGCCACCATCCGACTGACTCGAAAAATTAGTGGAGACTATGGTTCCAGACTGGAGCAAAGGAGTCCAAAGGTCTGGTAGCGTCCGCGGGAGAGCCCCTTTATCCAACATTCAGCTGGTATCTGGAGACATTCAATATCCAGCCTCTGACGGTTCCAGAACTATTTGCTGTTTGTACAACCCAACCTGCACCCCAGTATTCCCTCTACTAACGTTAATCTTTGAAGCTTAATACCAAACAAGCCGAGTATCGTCAGAAGATGGCAGAAGCTTGGTATAACACCAAGTCACAGACAGGAACCGGCCGACCTATTGATGCTTTAATCTGTCCAAGCGCACCTTCTGCAAGTTTCCCACACGGTCATCCTGTTTGGTGGGGATATTTGAGCCTGTGGAATATCCTCGACTACCCAAGCATCATTGTACCGGTCAAAAATTTCCATATTGACCCAGAGGAAGACGCCAAGGATGCCAGCTACCAGCCTCGGGACAATGTTTTCGACAAGATGAACCAGGATATTTGTAAGCCCTCCATGCTGAATGCTACCAATCTTGCTGAACTGGATTCGAGCTAACGACTTGCTCTTCCCTAGATGATCCGAAGCTGTGGGAGAACTTACCAGTGACAGTTCAAGTTGTTGGCCAACAATATGAAGATGAAGAGCTCATTGCCGTGACCGAGTGTTTGGATAAAGTCTGTAACGCATAAGCAGGATTGTTTTTGAATCGAGCGGGTATAGACGCTCAGGGCAGATACAAGTAGAGCCAAAGTCGAGCTTGAGTCCAGATGCTACGTCCATCAGTCTGCACGTCGAGGCCGATGCTCTAACAGCCTCGGGTTGCCTTTGCAAGTGTTTCACAGAGTCTTGAGCAAACACCCTCGTACATCCGAAAAGGAAATAGAGACACAGCATGGTCCAAGGCTCCTCGAGCAAAGACCGAAGAAGTCGTGGGGCAATATACCGCAATATTTATCAATCCAGACTTGTCAAAGGGCCCAAGGATACTTTGCATATTTACTGGCATTCCATAAGAGGGCATTTTTACCTCCAATCGTGATTGCCAATCAATATCGCGCCTGGATTATCGCCTCCGATACCTGTACCCGCGCGGAACTCGGGGCCGATGCGCGTGCAGAAATCAGTCTCTCTCGTCATTGGGCGCATTCTGAATCAGCAAAGACTTACTATAAAGATGGCCGTTGGTGTCCGTTTATTAAAAGGGCCCATCTGGCAGCTTCGGATAATAGCCACGCTCATTTTTACTCCTCAGTCTCCTCTGCGCGCACGAATCGCTCGCTACTATTCGCAGGAGACCAATATCCGAAACGCAATCAGCAAATATGTCTCCCCCAGACCACATCACCCTCTTGAACCCTAAAGACCTCTTCGACTCAGCCCCCAGCTTCTCTCATGTGGCTGTTGCATCACCCGGAGTCAGCATGATCTACTGCGCTGGCCAAGTCGGTGCGGACATCAACCGGGAGCCTGCGGCTACGTTCGAAGAACAAGCCAGACTTGCGTTCAACAACGTGAAGTCATGCCTGCGGGAAGCTGGTGCAACACCAAAGGATGTTGTCAAGTTGACATACTACGTAGTCAACTGGAGCCCAGAGAGAGCTCCATTGTTTCGGAAGGCTTTGCTGGAATTCTTGACGGACGAGAACGGCTATGTTCATCGCATGGCAACAACACTAGTTTCGGTCGCTGGTCTAGCTGACCCGCGGTGGCAGGTTGAGATTGATGCGGTGGCAGCAATCAAAGCGAAGCTCTAATCTGTGAAACGATATTCACGAGACACAGCAAACTACTGTGATCTGTCTTTCGCAGCAAATCCCAAACTTCCTTCGATGGCAACCTCATTCTGATCGCCGCATGACTCTCTGCAGCTTGAACGAGAGTCCTCTGGGCTTTCAATGACATCCATACAGAGTCAGACACAGGGGCCAGGGCATAATAAATGGACCACACTTGCATGCGAAAGATAGATTGAATCTCACCCCAAGAACGAGCTAGCCAATTTTAGCTGGCAATGGCATCTAGAAATTCAAGTTGCCAATTTCATTAATACTCGAGGGAGGCTGCTTGGTTACTCTTTTGCATGTAAACAGTTTCTAATCCTCTCCGACGCAATTGTTTCGATTTTGCAGGGGTCCATCGAAACTCACCACCATGTGAAATTTTCTGTGCGCCCATAGCCAAGGTCTACCATCCGGTCCCCCGCCAGCAGCAACTTACATTACGGCTTTTCGGCGGATTGACCTTGACTGTTCATTTTCGTGTCAAGAGCGGGAATGCCGAAAGAGATATCGAGAGCTCAGGTCTCGACCGTTTGTTCTCCGAGTATTTCCTGCGCGTACCCGATATCTCCGACAGATAATGGTATTTCCAATCCTATCGCTTCACTCACGCAGGTCCATCGATACCTATATCTCATCGTGCCGGCTTGTCGGTGACCAACCAAATCTTACAATTATCTAGGTTCTCTTGGCAATCCCCAGATTTTGCGGCACCTGACCTAGGAGAATGGCCAGGCCTATGGACAAAGAAGGCATATTGTGGACCTAGAACAGTCCCCTCAACTATACACCCCGGCTATAGTTCGAGAAATGCTCCGCCTACCCAAAACCCTCTTGATATAGTGCCACCAAATAGCCCTGGTCTGGACACTGGAACTGACACAAACAGGCGTCTGATGCCGGAGCCTTTCGTCGAACCCGGTTAGCGCACGCGGCAAAGGCGGGAAGGTCTACTATCGAAACCTAATATAGTATACCAAATCTAGACAAGATTCCCGAATCTCTCGGTTCCGGAGAGGTCTTGGATTGGTCCCTATCACTCCAACGACTCGACAACTATGGGCCAGATATATAGCAAGCCGCGACAATCTCGACAGCCGATCTCCACTCCAACATAAGCACGCTCGATTCTCCCGTTGATTTGAGTCGTTCCTTCCTTCCAACACGTGGCTGAACTCACCAGATCTCCACTGTACTGTCTACCCTTGCAACCATGTCGACAGAAGAGATGTCCATCGAAGCGGCGCACGACCCGCGCCTCACCACGACAGCGTTCGAGGGCGCGAAAAAGCTTCATATCTCCGCTGAGGAAGCCGCCTTGATGGTCAAAGGGTCTATGCAGGTGAGACACAGGAACAGATGTCTATTGAAGCGCGCGGGATGACTGACCTCGTCTTCCCCAGTTTCCCAAAAGCTACCATGTCTGGGGTCTCACGATTCCGGCGTACAGCCATCCTCGCGTTCAGGTCGTACTCTTGGGATGCGTCATTTTCATGACTGCAGGTATCTACCAGGTCATCACTGCTCTGGGTGGTGCCGGGCAGCAAAGTGCGCAGCTTGCCGACTCGGCTAGTATCACACTGTTCTCCGTCTTCATGGGCTTCACCTTGTTGGCCCCGCCGGTATTGAACTACTTCGGAATCCGCCTCACTCTTGGAGTCGGCAGCTTGGGGTACGCAGCTTATTCCGCCAGTCTTTGGTGCTACAACCATACTGGTAACCAGCCATTTGTCATCTTTGGAGGCGCGTGGTGCGGTTTTTCAGCTGCCTTCCTCTGGGTCGCCGAGCGAGTCGGGCCTGTCGCATACGCATCCGAGGACCAAAAGGGGTTTTATGTTGCGATCTTCTGGACGGTCTACCAGATCGGCACTATGTTGGGTGCAGCTATCCCTGTGGGACAAAACTGGAACGCTGGAGTCAACAACCACTCCACGGTGACTGACGGAACATACATTGGTCTCTTCATCATCATGCTTTGCGGAGCAGGCGTCTCATTCTTGTTGCTTCCCATGGACAAAGTGGTCCGTGAGGACGGAACTAGAGTAGCATTGCCGGTGAGTTTTGTCTGCATTATCTGCATTATCTTCGCGTTGCTAGGGCTTCCAAAATTCATCATTCCAGAGTTACTGACTTTCGCCGAACAGCCTGCGCTGTCATTCAAGGAACAAATCAAAGCCTGCGCCAAAGTAGTCAAGCATAACTACTGGATTATGCTGGTTTGGCCCTACTCGTTCTCAGTCTACTATTACGTCGTATACCAAGCCAACCGGTACAACGGACTAGTGTTCACAGTCCGCGCACGAGCTTTGAATAGCTTGATGAATTGCTTCATGGCCATCCTGGCCGGTTGGGTCATGTCTCTAATCACGGACAGACTGCCGTTCAAGCGACGACAGCGCGCGTACTGCGGACTGTTCTTCAACTGGTTTCTCGTCAACGCAGTCTGGCTCGGTGGCTACTTTGCCATGAGAGAGACAGTCTCTGGCCTCACCGAGTCTGAGAAGCTGGACGTCTATTCCCCGGGCTACGGCGCAAAGGCATTCTTGTTCGTCATGTACGGATACATGGACGGAAGCTATATTACATATCTTTCGTGGTTCTTCGGCGCTCTTTCCAACGACGTCAAGGTGGTAAGTGAACTATGCTTCCTCTATCAAGCTCAAGGCCGCTGACCATTTTACAGCTCTCCGTCTTTGTTTCAATGTTGACGTTCTGGTCCTCGGCTTGCCAGATCGTTGCTTATACTTTGGATTACCACCACGTTAGCACCAGATTCATGTTTGGAAGTGCCTGGTTTGTATGTCGAGCGAATCTGTCCCTGTTGTCAGAAATAGAACTGACTATTTTGCAGTGCATGGCCATTGGTCCTCCATTCCTCTTCCCAATCATCAAGTACTGGATGAAAGATACCTCCGTTCTCACTCTGGAAGTGCTCAACGGCACGGTACCAAGTGTGGACGAAAAGACTAGCGATGCTCTACCGACCGAGAAAGGTATCTCGGCCACAACGACCGTAGACATGTTCGAGGGTAAGTAAATTTCGAGCACTCGCGGCCAAGGAGGAGAGATACCAGTTCTCCTTTCCGGAGATAGGCGCTTCGAATAATCTTGTGCATATGCTGTGCCTGATGAGAGGCTAGTCCCGATATATTCCAATGCATTGATTGGGCTTGATATGAGGGACGTTAACGGGGTCGAGAGACCTGGCCGGAAGCGAAGTTTAATTTTTTGCCTAGTATATAAAACATGCGTAAGGGAGGGTGTTTGAGGCTACCTATTTATGGGAGCTTCTTCCTGTGAAACTTGTTGAGCCTGGCCATTCTTTGCGTCAGGAGGCTACCAGATCCGAGTGCCGCGACGACCTGCAAGTAATACGGAATACGGAGGACTCTGGGCGTATCAGGGCCGATCCTTCGAACTGCTTTGGGCCTCCGTCCGAGGCATCTCGCTCGCAGTTTCTGAGCTAGGGTTCCCTGTACAAAACGCGCTGGACAGTTTCGCTTCTTGAATTCTTTTCTTTCCAGCAAGATTTGGCACTTCCTTCAGCATTGTACTGAATCCGCACCCACGAACACCGTGCTCGAGGTCCTGCTGGGAAACCATGTCTGAAGTTGCCACTTGTCTAGAAATGCAGAGCACCGTTCCTCGTCGTGCCAACATCGACGAAATAACGGAAGTCATCCCGGCCCTCGAGGGAGCATCTGATATCTTCACCAATGCTTATCCGAATTGGCAGGCGCGAGCAGCACGAGGCATATTCGGGGGCACCCTAGTTGCGCAGGCTCTGTCTGCGGCACACGCCACGGTGCCCCCCGACTTCATCATCCATAGCATGCACTGCCATTTCATACTCGCCGCCGTCGCCCACAGCCCGATGTTTTACCATGTGGAGCGAATCCGGGATGGTAAAAGCTTCATAACGAGGACGGTGCAGGTTCGCCAAAGGGGAAAATGCGTCTTCACGGCCACTTTATCATTCACCAGAGAACGCCGTGGAAGTAGCCAAAACGTCGAGCATGTGTCGCTCATGCCAACGGAAGCCACAATTCCAATGCCTGGAGTGACCACTTATCCTGCTTTTCCAGAGCGCGAGTCCCAGCCTTTCGAGTCAACTCTCTTCACTGTCACTCCAGCCAGCTCACCTCCCGAGAAGAGAATGCGCCTCTGGCTGCGAGCCATCAATCCAAATCGCGACTGCGGCCCTAGCCAACAACCTGCTAAAAGAAGCTCCTCTGATGCAGTGCAACAGCTTCAAGCACAGCTCTCCGCACTAGCGTTTATGACGGATGGGTATTTCATCGACGCAATCGTTCGAGTACACGGCCTTGCGCCCAGCGAGGACTATACCAAGGTTAAAGATGGTGTGTCACTTGCGAACGAGAATCGGGTCCAGATGATGGTCTCCCTCAGTCACACCATCTACTTCCACAACCCTCATGCCGTGTGTGCGGATGAATGGATGTTGATTGACGTGGACAGTCCATGGGCCGGAGATGAGAGGGGGCTTGCAGTTCAGAGGATATGGTCAAAATCTGGCGTTCTTCTGGCAACTTGCTTTCAAGAAGGCCTCATCAGACTGAACCAGGATAGCGGCCCGAGATTATAGCGAACGTGATGGAGTTCCAAGATGGCATTGAAGTACTCGAGAGAAGAGGAAAGAACCCTTCGAGAAAGGGGCTTGCGGGCGGCTCACCACGACCACACCGCTTTCATATCTCCTCACCTAGCCCTCACCTCTCACCTCCCTCTCACATTCCCGCTTCTCCTCGACTCTCTCTTGACTTACCCTCAGTGCAAAGGTCCTCGATTTCTCCTGCAGCTTAGTCATCTATACCTACGCCTGCACTAGGATTTAAAACCGGCGCCTTTCAACAAAGACTATTTCTGGGACCTAGAGTCGTCTCACCGTTTCCCAGCCTCGATCTCGAGCAGTTGAACTAATGCTTCAGCTTGCAAAGGCGCTTGGAGTAGAAATTGCCGCAGAGCCGACTACGCGAGGACACTAGTCCTAATAAGGTTAGTAAAAAAAGCTGGAGCTCAATAAAGAATTCAAGCCAGTTTGACAGCACATAAAGATCAAATACAAAAGCCCGGCCGGCCATGTCTGCCATTGATACAAGGCGAATTTTTTCAGGCATGTCAACACGATCAGGATCTACCCCTAGCTTAAACTGAAAGCCCGACCTCTGCATTACCTCTCCATCTCAGGGGTTGAGCCTCGCCCTTCCGCTGCGAGGAGAACAGCCCGGACACAATAGAGCAAATCCAATCTCATTGGCGAGCGCAAGAAAACTCTCCTTTGAGCCAATACCCGATGGCATGGTAAAGAGCTGGACTAGCACTGAAAATCCCGCCATCCCTGTGACGGTCTGAAAGTAAGCTTTTTCGCTCCCGAACACGAACCCATTTTCAAGGACCTGACTAGGGCAAACCACCAACATAAGAGCCCTAAGTTACGACGGATACCTCCCCGCTAAATGATCATTTACTCTTCTCCGCATCTGATACCTAGGGAGAGATATGGACGACGCTGGAAACGTATCCGAAGGGATATCCGACAACCGACGTAAAGGGGTTCTATATTCTCTTGCCGAAGATGGAAGAGGGTTATACGTTAAAGCGGGACAAAGCATTAGGAATCTATCCGCACAGCTTCGATGTATTCCCAGACTGGAGATTATATAAGTGTTATAGAATGTAGGCCACAGGCTCACCTCTCCTTCCTATATTTACTAACGCCCTAGGTGGAAAGATCATTCAGAATATCTAAGATAACGCCTAACTAAGCTACTTATTCCCTTTCTACAACTTATAACTCGTTCTTAACCACTATAAAGCGCTTCTAGGGTCTTCGTGGACCCTAGCTTAACGCCGCTATATAGGCCTTAGCTATATTCGCGGTTATAATCTTTAGATATAACTAAGCTATAGCCGGGGGAGTCCTCACTAGCCCGTCTTTCAATAGGTAGTTTGCTAAGATAGAGGTAATTGACACGACGGGCGCGCAGAAGTGTTAGGACTCCGCTATCTAAGGTAAGGCCCTATACTAGTAATGGACTGGGGCGAGACTTCATAGCCAAAGGTAATGCCTCTCTGTTGCGGTAGGAATATATATAATACACTATAACACTACTAAAATAATATAGATAGAATACTTAATTATTAGTCTATCTCTCTACTACTATCTATATAAAAATGCTATTAAAAGAAAAGAAATAGCTCTCTACTTTATCCGTCTAATTAGGAGCTACTATTACCTCCTTCTATAATATATAGGTACGTAACCTAATTGACTTTTCTTATTATAATAAGACTAGATAGATAGCTAGAAGTTTCTAATAAGAATACGATATCGATTATAACGAAATCTTCGCGAATATAATTAATCCTATAGTCTAAAGATTACTTCTAGCTATAGCGGCGTCTCTAGATCTAGAGATATCCTAGTAGGATATTAAAAAACGTTTATAAACGTAAATCTATACGAAAAGGTCTATATATAATAGTCTAGGGGCTTTAAAGATCTAGAACAATCTAACTAGATATACCTATTATAATAGGAGGAGTCAGTTAGGTCCCGTACCTATATATTATATAGGGAGGTAGTAGTAGCTCTTAATTAGATAGGTAAAGTAGATAGCTTTTTCTTTTCTTTTGATAATATATTTTATATAGATAATAATAGATAGATAGACTAATAACTAAGCATTCCTATCTATCTTATTTTAGTAGTATTATAGTGTATTATATATACTCCTACCGCCGTAGAGAGAAATATCGCCTCTAGCTGTGAAGCCCCGCCCCAGTTCACTATTAAATAAGGACTTATATAGGCTAAGATTATTAGATCGCGAATAGGAATTATACCTAAAGATCTATTATAATGACTAGATCTATTCCTATCAAAGATAGACTAATCTATCTATATAAATAAGAATAAATTAATTATTATATTAGTTTATATAGATATTATTACTATTATATTTCTGATAGATAAAAAGATAAAGACTCTATTTAAGGATTATCCAGATCTATTAAGATAAAGAATCTAGAAGATATTAATAAACTTCTAGAGATTAAAATAACTAGAAATCGCGAGAAAAGAACTATATTCTTTTATTAGGACTATTATATTAAGAAAATACTTAATAAATATAGACTTAAGGATAGGTAAAGTAAACTCGCTAGTTCTATCTTTATAGACTTAAAGTTTAAGTCTATTGAAGAAAACGTAAAGCCTAAAGATATAAAGAAGTTCTAATAATAAATAGAGACTCTTATATATCTTATAATAAAAACAAGATTATCTAATAGAATATTTAGCTAGGTATATATCTAACTCTAGTTTCTTATACTTTGAAGTATTAAAAAGAGTATAAGAATATCTATCTATAATAAAAGATCTAGATCTATTCTATTAATTTAACTCTACTAGTATAGATTATTATATAGACTTAGATTAGAGAGATAATATAAACTCTAGAAGATCTATAATAAACTATCTATTTATTTTCCGCAATACTCTACTATTCTAGAATTTAACATTATAATATATAATAATATTAAGTTCTTATAAAGCTAAATATATAGCTTTAAACGAGACTATCAAAGAATAATAGTATATTAGAGTACTATTAAATAAGATAGAAGACTTACTTTAGTCTTATCTCGCTATAGAATATCTTAATATCTATATAGACTTAAACTCGGCTATTAAAGTAGCGAAAAATTCTATATATTATATAAGAACTAAATATATTAATATATAATACTATTACGTTCGCGAGTATATTTAAAATTAAGCATCTAAAGTTATATAGATATCTATAGATATATAACCGGCAGACGGTCTAACTAAGTCTATATCTATTGAGTAATAGATTAGCTTTATTAAAGATATAGATTTATGAGATAATAACTAATCTATGTAGACTAGTATAATATTAAAAGATAAACGAAGCAAAAAGTTCCTTTTAAGATAAAGTTAATTAAGAACTAGAAACTATCTAGATATTATTAAGACGCTCTCTTTACTAATAATAGATTAAGAAACTATGAACTAATAGAAGAAATATTATAATATCTCTAGTAATAGCTAATAGTCGGATAACTCTACTCTCTATCGGTAACACCGTGTCACAAACGCAGCAGAAGAGCACGTGACTCGCATGGGAGAAGCATCTCTATGCGCCACTATAGCTCAAGGGGAAGAGCGGAGTAAAGGGACCGCTGGGACGGCCCTAAGCCAATTAGGCTTACTAGGCCTATAGGAGAAAAGGTACGCTTCCCACACACGGAAAGCTTCCTTCTCTCAAGCTTTGAGTCTTGTTGATACGATACGTAAAGGATACTTATTACCACGGATTCTATCTATCGCTGAGTACTGC